TAGTAACCTGCCCTTCAATGTCCTCCTGAGGCGTGCTCCAGCCCGGTTCAGGTTTGAAATGTTGAGCAACAGTTGCAGGGTGGTGGGAGAGCACCGAGGACGCCATGGATTTTACTCCCTCACAGCAAATGGATTTCTCAACCTGTTTACCAGCCAGATCGGAAGGTCTTGACGGGTGGCATCTCTATAGAGAGCGTTTAAAAGGTGAGCCGCCGTGACCCCACACACAAGGAGGCAGATGGCAGCAGGGATGAGTGCCCAGAAAGGAAAACATTTAAGCCTTTAAAGTTAGAAACACCAAGACAGAGATTTAGAGGAGACCGCATCTCATCATTTAACTGGAGAGGGAGTTTGCTGACTGTTTCCTAAACGAAGGGAAAGGAGGATGTTTTGTGGACCGGGTGGTTATAAAATGAATATAATCGCTCCCCCAAATGAGTGTCGTTTTGAACAACATGTACTCAACTCACACTAGGGGTACTGATTTATAATTATCCTAATTGAGCCCAGAACTGGGATAAATGGGCATACACATGCCATTTTCTTGGTAGGTGCTGAGAATATTGGGCACATTGTACCATAACAGCGACAGGGTGCAAGTGAGGATTGCTTCTTGCAGCCTTCTCGCCATGGATCTGCCTTTCTAGGTCACTGATTCCAGCTCTGCTGTGTTCTTGGAGATCAGCGTACCCGGCCAGCATTTAGAGGGAACGTCATACACAGGATGGGAGGTGTCCCTGGGTGGATTGCTGGATCTACTCCAGTGGCTAGCGATAAAGGATTCCTAGTGGTCTCCAGGTAGACTCCCGCCTAGTGAGAAAATGCATTTTAGTTTGGATTTGCTGATCCCCTGAATGCACCAAACTAAAATGTCCACCAAGCTGTCTATTTAGAAGAAGATAGTGTTATGAGCAGCAAGAGAAGAAGTGACTAAAATGTCCCCTTTGGTACTGGATCCTGTATCCTGTTTTGTCGTGAGGGAATTTATTAGCAACGATAAGACTTAAGGCGGAGGTCTTCCAAGTAATGTTAAGCACCCGTCCATCAGAGTATATCATCTAAGAGATGCTGGGGTCTATTTTCTAAGCTCTGGGAGCTGATACTGGCTTATCTGAGTTGGTTCCATTCAGCCATGATGGTATTTGGGTTGTCGACCCATACTTTGTAAGAGGATTTGGCTTTCGTTAAACTGAAACATGAATTCTGAAATGGAGAAAAAAAAAATCTAATCTTAAAACTAGTGCAGGCCAATTTGCAAAACATCTTAAAAGATGGGTGCAGGGAAGTCTTGAAGAACTCCGAAGAGTAATTTTTTGAGTGTCAGGAGAAAATAGCGTGGGAAGAGTGAGGTCGTTAGCAGCTGATTTGCTGAGCCCAGAGCAAGCCTTCTGGCAGCCTGGCATGTGTAAGCTGCTCTGGAGAGGGATACTTGCTTAAGGGTGCAAATGTCTATCTCTGTACTGAACTCTGAAGACATCGCCTGAATATAAAACAGATAATTTATGCTTTAGTCCTGGAAGGGAAATTAGGTATTTTTAGGTATTATTGATTCTAGACTCTATATTGGGTTTATAAAGAAGCCAAATACCTGAGAGAGGTATCTTGTCTGTTGTCCGGGGTCACACAGGAAAGTTGGTTCTTAAGACATCTAAACATTAAAAATTTATGCTATACCTTTCTCTATCTATCTATCTAGCTAGCTAGCTATCATCAGTGTTTTGGGGTGAGTGCATCTGTACTATGGCATTCATGTGGAGATCCGAAGACAGCTTAGAGGATTTGGTTCTCTCCTTCTTCCGTATGGAAGCTCAGATTGTCAGGCTTGGTAGCAGCTATTACTGAGCCTTCTCACTGGCTTTGTAGGTATTTAAAGAGAAACACGCACACACGCACGCACGCACACACACACACACACACGTAAATCCGTGTATGTATATCTGCATACACATACATATGCGCGTGTAAGGTGAACTGCTTTGAATGGAGTGCAAAGAATCCAGGGTCCCAGTTTCCAGGGCAGATCCTAAGTCTTGTTTTTTTAGCCCACAAATACTGTACAACCTTGGAATTCACCCTGTAAATTATTTTTTATAATAATTATTTTATTACCCCCATAATTATTTTACTCAAGCCTTCATTATTAGCTCTGGGCAGACCTTGGGATCAGTGATGCCACTGTCCCATCAACCTTGATCTTGAAGCTAGGAACCATGGATCTTTGTCTGAGATCTAGCACTCTGGTATCCTGGATACTGTGGCAGCCTCTCACCGAGACCCAGAGGCTTCATTTCACTGTTCTGAGAGCTAGGCATTCAAATGTAGATGCCAGCAAATTTGAGATGTTCTCACTTCCTTAGGTGACATGTATTTTACTGTGTTCTTTGTAGAGACTAAGCAGAAATACAAGTTATTGTCTGGTCATGAGAAGTCAAAACTCAATGTCTGTGATACTCTTTTTTTTTTAAAAAAATTTATTATTACTTTTAAAACTATGTGTATGTATCTGTGTTTGTGGTATGCAGACAGGAGTGCAGGTACCTGTAAGGCCAGGAGAGGGTGTGGGATTCTCTGGAGTTAAGAGTTGCAGGCATCTGTGAGCTACTGGATATGGGTGTTGGGAACTGAACTTGGATCCTCTGCAAGAACCGCAGGTGCTTTAACCCCCAGTCGCCTCCCAGCTCTAGCTGAACTGAGTCTGAGAAAGCGACATGGGTTAGCCTTGTTTGAAATGAAACACTGGTCGCTAATTTTTGAACAGCTCTAGGTGACCAGCTTGGAAGGAAGTAGGGAAAGGAGCTGGAGGAGCAATATTCACACCAGAAAGCTAGCGAGAAGGGCTCAGAGTCTCCATAGGTTCAGGAAGCAGAGAAAAGGGAGTCACCAATAGGTTGGATATGGAGAAGACACAAATGGGACTCCATGATAATAGTGTTGAACCTGGAAAGATGGGATTTCCATTTATTAAACTCAGGAAGCCCTCTGGAAAGAGCAGCTACGGGAGAGGCACATGCCTTCAATTCTTTATTCTGTTCAGAGGGTTGAGATGCCCATTTTCAGTCCAAGTAGAAAACTGTAGCTTTTTCTTTCCTTTTGAGATTGGATTTCCTTGTGTTTGTTGCCTGGGCTGCTCTCTATATTACAGCCTAATGATTGTTTCGCCTCAGATTCTGAGTAGCTGGGACTACAAGCACTTACCACACAGCCTGCATAGCTAGAATTCTGACCAGAAGTTAGGGATTTATCAGTACACACATAGTATTAAAGTCAGGAGCTCTCCAAGGAGGGAGGGTATATATAAATTTTGAAAATGGCCTTGGACAAAGCCTGGAGGCCCACAGCATTCAGAGGTCTGAACAGCACTGTGTGTGGACCGTGTGGGGGCGAGGGAGAAGTGAAGGCAGGGGTGGGAGGAGACTGGAGCGTGGGTGATCTGGGCTCTGGCTGAAGAGTGTGACAAATGTCACTGTTAGACCAGTGTGAGAGAAAACAGACGATGACAGGAATGAGAAGAAGAAAGGCTTCTTCCTTTAATCTTCCGCTAGCCGGGGATGAAATGTTCTCGCCTGTCTGACTTTGCAAATCCTAGACTTTTTAGACTTTCTCTATTCTCTTTTATTCCTGCCTGCAGATAAAAATTCTTCTCTGTGCTGATGTCTCCTGGAGTATGTTGTCCAATCCATCTAATAATAAGCGTGTACAGTTAACGTTCTATTTTCTAATGCATTCTGATCAAGCTGTAATACGGCCAGACGAGAATGGTCTCCGAAAGGCATCAGGCACTAGCTGAGTGTGGTGGCACACGCCTGTAACCTCAGTTCGAAACAGGAGGATTACCGTGGGTTTGAGGTCAGCCTGGGCTACAGAGTTAGTTCCAAGGTTAGCCTGGCCTAGAGTGAGACCTTCCCCACTCCCCTGCAAATGGTATCAGGTAAGAGGCACGGTTGTTTACTAAATGCTTTGCTGTGCTCTGTTGGATCTTTTTATCTCCCCAGCCTGTAGGGCAGCTTTCTTTACTACACACTCTTTAGTGAGATTTAGATTTTTTACTTGGGACCCTTGGAGGACCAGTCACGTGCTAGGCAGTCCCAACGTTCCTGTGGTTTAAGAGAACAAGCATTTTTGGCTTGAAAGTTAAGCATATTTGCTGCTTTTACAGAAGACCTCAAGTTCTGTTCGCAGCACCTCACAACTGTCTGTAATTCCAGCCCCATGGGGAAATCAAACAAATCCTGTCGTCTTCTGCAGACACCTGCACGCAGCTGCACGACCCCCTTAAAAAAAAAAAAACCCAGACTTTAACAAAGAAGAGGCATCTATTTTTCCCTCATGCAAAGTTCATTGTGGATGTATGAGGCTTCATTCAGGTCGACTGTCCTTCCCGTCATGGCTCCTCCGGGCCCCTCCACTGCTCAGAAGGAGGGGAGAAGGGAGACTGTGCTAAAGGGGTGAGCATTAGTGGTTGAGTCCTTTCAGAAGGCGGTTACACACACTCATCTCAAATAAAGCCAGGTGGCCGAGTTCAGTTTCTAAGGCTTGGAGGAGAAAGATGAGAAAAACGAGTTATAGCACCGGGCAAACCTCTTCGGAAACATCCTGCCACGCATGCTCAGAAATACGTCACCTGGGTGATTTCCAATCCAGTCAAGCTGACAACGAAGGCGCAAGGCTGGATTTACTTTCTATCGTCTTTAAAAATTTTTTTAGAATGAATTTTTATTTTATGTGTATAGGTGTTTTGTCTGTATGTGTGTCTCCGTACCACGTGTGTGCCTGGTATCCACAGGGGTCAGTAAAGCATGCTGGATTCTCTGGAACTGAAGTGACAGCTGGCTGTGAGCCACCATGGGGTTAGTGGGAACTGAACCCAGGTCCTCTGCAAGAGTAGCAAGTGCTCCTAATTCCTGAGCCCCATCGCCAACCCCTGCCTTTTATCTTCTCATGAAATATCAAAGTAATTTTCCGTTCTCTTTCCTACCTTCCTCTCCTTTTATTTCTGTTTTAGTATCGAGGGTTAAATCCAGACTCTTGCACATGTGAGGTAAGTGCTAAAAACCCTCAAACTATACCCCCCAAATTATTCAATTTTTCTTGAATAACCTAAGTGTTATGGAAGCCTCTGAAAAACCTTCCATGAGCCCATATTTTGAAGCACGTTTTCTGTCTGGTGGCACTATTTTGGAAGGCTATGGGACCTTTTGGGAGGTAGGACCTAGTTGGCAAAAGTAGGTCACTGGAGATGGCCCCTGGTTCTGTTCTCACTTTCTGTTCCCTGTTCTAGTGCGGCAAGAGTGTCCCTGCTACAGATCCCGCTACCACAGACTGAGCCGCTGGGCTCTGCCTTCCCTGCCAAAGAACCTGCCACTCCTCTGAAACCTTGATTCGGGGCTCATCTTTTCTGCCTTAAGTTGTTTGTGTCTGGGGTTCTGGCCACAGTGACACAAAAGTAGGTCAGTAAAATGTCAGTCTTCCTATTCGAGGGTTATAACGTTCTATGGGCTTTCATGTTTTGAACCTTGACCTCAAATAATTCCTGTTGGTTGTTAGTATAACTTAACAGTAAAACCATGTCTGTTCCCTACCTGGCCCCCCAGCTCTTACTGTGGAAATGTCCTTCTAATGCCTCACTATTCTTTTCTCTTCTTTTTGCAGTATTGGGCCTGACTCTTTATTTTTTTTTCTATTTAAACATAATTTTTAAAATTGATTCTTTGGGAATTTCACATCATGCACTCCAATCCCCCTAATTTCCCAGTCTCTCCATATCCTCACCCACAAATAAAAAAATAAAAATATTTATTAATAAAAACAAAAACAAAAAACCCCAAACTATCTTGCTCCTCCATGTTCCCCACCCCTCTACCATCTCTTCGTTTATCTTAGTGGCGTTGGGAGCTGCGGGGTATCACACAGTAAACCTTTATGTCCAAACAGCTTTACTGGCAATTGTTCATTTTAATTGAGTTGTTGGTCTGATTAAAGGCCTCTGGCTTTTGGTACACCATCAATAATGGACCCTCACCTAAAATCTTTTCAATTATCTTGCTGTTGCTCGGACTCATGGAGATCCTACAGCTCTGGTTCCGTAGGAAGGACCTTCACGCACTCCAGCACGGTATAGATGGGGTAGATATTAGGCCACCTCAGAACACTGGATGTGGGCCTGCATGGTAGCTGAATTGGTCTGTGAGGGCCCTGCTGGGACCGCCCTCCTCAGGCAGAAGGCAGAGCCAGTTTTCCTGTGCCCAGTGCCATCAGGATCAGCTCTCCTGTACCTGTTTTGAGGGTGAGGCCAGCTCTCCCAGGGCTGGGGTCACTAAGGCTAGCTCTCCCATGTGGGGCGGGACCAGCTCTCCTGCTGCATCCGCCAGTGCCAGCAAGGCAGGACCAGATCTCTCAGGGCCAGTGAAGGGTACCCTGATGGTAACACGGATATCAACACAGAGCCCACCAGCAGTAGGATCATGGACCCAGACATGGCGCTTGGCAGCAACTTGGGCCCAGATGTCACCATAGTCCTGGGGGGCAGAGGGACCTTGACCCTTGAACCTGGAGCCTTGTGTATTCTATACAAGTACAAGGTCAAATCTTAGTTGTTTTGAAGTGGCTCCTGACAATGATTGGACTTTTCTTAATATCTTATTTTAACATAAAGATTTGTCTACTTATTTATTTTTTTATGTGTATAGCTATTGACCTGCATGTATATCTATGTTCAACTGTGTGCCTTGTGCCTGTGGAGGCCAGAGGGAGTCAGATCTCTTGAAACTGCAGTTATGGATGGTTATAAGTGGCCATGTCGGTTCTGGGAACTGAATCTGGGACCTTTGGAAGAGCATCCAGTGCTCTTAAATTATTTAGCCATCTCTCTAGCCCCTATTAGAAAATTTAAAAAGATTATTTTTGTTTAATGTCTAGGATTATTTTTGTTTTATGTCTAAGAGTGTTTTACATGCATGTATGTAAGTGTACGACATACATGTAGCATGTCTGTGAATCCCAGACAAGGGTGTCGGATACACTGGAACCGGAGTCACAGACAGTTGGGACTGCTCAGCCTGAGTGCCGACACCCCAGCTCAGGTCTTCTGCCAGTGCAGCAAGAGCTTTTAACCCACTGTGGGGGTTGGAATGTGATTGACCTCCATGCTCACATGGAGTGGCACTATTAGGAGGGGCAGCCTTGCGGAGGGAAGCGTGTCACTGTGGGGGCAGGCTTTGAGGTCTCTTTTGCTTAAGTTCAGGGTCACAGCCACTTCCTGTTGCCTTCTGATCAGGATGTAGCCAGCACCATGTCTGCCCGAATGCTGCCATGCTCTCTGCCATGATGATAATGGACTGAATCTCTGAACTGTAAATGAGCCTGTAGTTGGTTGTTTTTATCCCTTGACTCTTTGGGGGGGGGTCACTACCCAGCTCCCAAACAAATACACGGAGATGTATTCTTACTTATGAAAGACCAGCCTTAACTTGGCTTGTTTCTAGCTAGCTTTTCTAACTTAAATTGTCCCATCTACCTTTTGCCTATGGACTCTTACCTTTCTCTGTTCTATATAATTTTCTTTCCTTCTTACTCCATGGTTGGCTGGGTGGCTTGCCTATCTCAGGCCAGGTGACTTGAAGTCCCAACACCAGGGGGCCAGATTGTGGGCTCTGTGGAGGACCCTTTTTAGGGTTGCAGATTGTTGATCTTCTTACCGTCTCTGCATGTGGTAGGAAAAGGGTGAGAGAGCTCTCTAGGGTTCCATTTGTCAGTGCGCTAATCCCATTAATGAGGGTCTCCATCTCATGACCAAGTTACTTCCTAGAGGCCCCACCTTTAATACTATCAAACCAGAGATCAGAATTTCACAAATGAATTGCTTTGAGGCCACATCCAGTTCACCGCAATGAGGAATTTGTTGGAGTGGACACTGAAAATCCCAGTGTCCCATTTGATTTAATTCTCACTTATATATTCTTACTTAAGTATTTGTAGTGTTGATTAGGTAAAAAAAATCAATACCAGTTATAAGGATAGTAAAAATTGCTCCGGGGGTCTACAGCCCGGTGAAAACTAATCTCTCCTACACTAACTTGATTTTTATAGGTAGCGAATTATGGCTTCCAAGTTTCATATGTAACGCTCTCCTTTGCATCTCCCACAGTAAATGGAGAATGTGTATGTGATTTCCATTTTACAGACAAGTGAATACAGACTACAGAGAACCCATACTTTGACAGCCATACAGGCAACTACTGACGACGCCAGAACGAACACCCCTGTTATCGGATCTACCCGTGGAGTGTTTCCACAATCAATTTCCTAGACGACGCAAGGTGAAGAAGATTAGCTGAAGAAAATCATCACCTGAAATTTATTCTATCTCATTAAACAAATAGTTGAACTGAGGAGAGCTGTTCAAACAGTGCCCTGGGCCACCTGTGTGTCTTCAAGGATTTGCGTTTCCTTCGTGGATGCCTGTCAAGCATCTCATATGGATTCATCTGGGAATTTCTCAGATGTATTCACGGCCCTAAAGAGAGGAGATTCTCACTGTTTAATTGTCCTCCATTGGTATGTATCGCTTTAGTGTCTTCTTTTCCCGTCTGTGTGGAAGTTTGGACCCAGAGCCCTGTGGATAATGGATGAACACTCTACCATGGAGCTATAGCTTCCTCTCTGACTCCCCAACTGTTCTTCTCAAGGGTATTGTGGGTCCTAGGCAGGGGCTCTGCCACTGAGCTACAGTCCCAGCCCCAACCCTAGCATCATGAATAGTCTTTTTTGTATGTTATTGTATTTTTAGTACTGGAATTTAATCTAATATTCAGATCTTGTACATGCTAGGCAAGTGCCCTAGCACGGAGCTATATTGCCAGTACTACCTTTAAATTTTAATTTATGATTGTTATTAGTGTGTGTGCATGACTGAATGATGTATGTGTATCAGTGTGGGATTGTGTGTGCCACAGGGTACAAGTGGAAGTCAGAACACACCTTTTAGGAGAGGAGTCATTAATCCCACTGATTGAGAATAAGACCACTACCACAGTTTAAAGCCGAATTTGAACCAAGCTTTAATTAAATACTGACCAAGTAGATGGGTTCTGGCTAGGTCCATACCCTGGTTCCCAGGGAATGTCTCGGAATCAAGTAAGGCAAAGACTTAAGAAGGAAAATCTATAATTCATTGCATTTCTCATAAGGTCCAGTCAGAGACAAGCATCCAGCCTACATCCAATCAGGGGCAAGTGTATATCCTGATGCACTTTCTGCCTTTAAAGCTACTGCAAACACAGATCAAGCACATTTGGTGCAAAACAAACTCATTTAGGGGAGTGAAAACAGGTGGCTTGTTATCTCCCATAAATACCAGCCTCCAGCATTTCAGGAACTGTCTGTCCTAGGGCAAGGACAGACCAGAGGCATTTTTGTTTCCTGAGTATCTTAGGCATAGTAATTAAAATTTACAATGTAACGTTGGCTCTCACAGAATGAGTTTTCTCCTTCCATTTGTTTTTGAGGCAGGGTCTCTCTTGTTGGTTCTGCTGCATTTCCTATTGTGAGTTTCTACACCATTCTCCCTCCTGCACCTCTCCTCTTGAGTTCTGGGGTTACAGATACACAGCAGTGCATCCAACTTTCCGTGGGATTTGGCTCGGGACATCAGGCTTGGACAGCAAGGGCTTTGACCTGCTGAGCCATCCTTCTAGCTTTGCCAATACTTCTGACTTCTTGCAGGGTTTCCCTAAGTTGTCCAAGCTGGCCTTGAACTCACTGTAGCCCGCGTAGGCTCTGACTGCCAATTCCACAGCCTCAGCATCCTCAGTAGCCAGAACGACAGGCTGCAGACCCAGCTTGGGGGTCTTAGCAGGCTTTTGTTCATCTCTTATCATCGCAGAGCTCACCCATGCACTTGTCTCTTCTCCTCTTTTGTGGATCATACCTGGAATTGGGGGAATAAACAGTTCAATGGCCCAAAGCTGCAGCTAACCCATACTCCAGAGGCAGGATCATTTTAAGTGATTTTTATTAGCATGCATTAGTCATATATGGCACTGAGTGGGTCATTGTTCTTGAAGGAGAGAGTTGCTGAGTCAAGTAGAAGTGTTAATCAGCCCTCTAAAAAGGACAGTCTTTGAAATTTGGGTTAATTAATTTTTTAATCTTTTCTGCTACTTAATTCTATACTCTGCCAATTTACCACTCTGTTTTTACATTTCTTTATCAGAGGCAGGAGGCTATTACCATAAGTATGTATGTATATATATATATATATAATGTATATTTTAAAAATCACATTTATTTAGTGTGTGTAGTGTGTGTGTGTGTGTGTGTGTGTGTGTGTGTGTGTGTGTGTGATGAGACTGTCATGGCAGCATGTGGAAGGCAGAGGAGAACTTTCAGGAAACAGGAATCAGTTGACTTCTTCTGTCAACTGGGTACTGGGAACCGAACTTAGGTTGTTACACTTGGTGGCAAGTACCTTTACCCAATACCCATCTCCTTGGCCCCATCTTTTTTGCCCCCCCCCGAGACAGGGTTTCTTTGTGTAGTTTTGGAGCCTGTTCTGGAACTCGCTCTCTAGATCATGCTGGCTTAGAACTCACAGAGATCTGCCTTTTTCTGCCTCCCAATTTCTGGGATTAAAGGTGTGTGCCACCATCGTTTGGCTTGCTCCGTCATTTTTAATGATGCATAAATGATTTGTTTAATTCTGTTTTAATTTTGGTAGAAATAACACCACAATCTTAACATACTTTTCTGATTAATATTTGCTTAAGGCAATGCTGAAAAGAATTTTTCAGGTGATCCCAGGAGTGGCCTTTTTCTATGTTAAAAGAACAAAATCAAATAGTATTGCTATCAGTTCTCTGCCATAGAGAATAAGCTGAAATAATGATAATAATAAAAAACTGAATAAAACATCATCAACAAGGATTCAAGGTTAAATATACCATTCATTATTAAATTGGACTCCAAAGTGTAAATAAACTCCAAGTTTTAATTTAAAAACTGACTTAAAGGACACACATGAAATATACTGGACAGAACTAAGAAGAAGCCAATGTGACCTTTATTTCCAGGGGTCATGTAATGAGCAGCCTCTGTGTAATAAAGATGCTTAACAAGGGCTGGGGGTATAGCTCAGTCGGTAGCATGCTGGCTAAGCACGCACGAGTCCCTGGGTTTGATCTCCAGCACAGGCCAAGAGGTGCATGTTTGTAATTCTGGCAATGGGGAGGTGAGGTGGAAAGACCAGAAGTTCAATGTCATCTTTGGCTACATAGTAATGAGATCAACATGGGCTACAGAAGACCCTGTAGTGGTGAAGGGGCCATAGTAGAGGCATCAAAAGGAAAAGATTGGGGCACAGTTTTGATCAAAACATAGCATATACCTGTATGAAATTCTTTTTTTTTTTCCAGACAGGGTTTCTCTGTAGCTTTGGTGCCTGTCCTGGAACTCGCTCTGTAGACCAGGCTGGCCTCGAACTCGCAGAGATCCACCTCCCTCTGCCTCCTGAGTGATGGGATTAAAGACACGCACCACCACCACCCAGCCACTTGTATGAAATTCCTAAGCATTAGAAAAAGATTATGAACAAAGAGTTTTAAAAAACGGTGAAAGCTACTAGGGAACCATGGACTTCACAAAGATTGGATGAACTGAATTCTAGGGAGGAGAGGTATGCATTATTTGTCACTTGGAGGAAGGTATTTGCCTATTTCGGGAGTGAACTACTAACCAGCAAAGGTACGCAGTCCTGGGGACAGCAGTGACCAACTTTCTTGGCCATGCTTGGAGGGAATAACCACAGAAATAGCATATTGTATTGGTCTTAATATAGGCCAGCACTAGAAATTTTGCTGCAGGAATACCTTCCGCTGCTTCAGCCAATAGTCGCTGAAGCACGAGCCCACAGTGCTGCAGAGTGCCTTGCGCTCCTTCAGCCAATAGCCTCTGAAGTACCAGGCCACTGGGGGCGTGGTATATTTCTCTTTAAAAGAAGAGCGGGAAGCCTCGGCACGGCCTCTTGGTTCCGGCTCTTGGTTCCGGCTCCTGCTCCAGCGACTAGGCTCCTTTCCTGACGGTTTATGTGTATGTAAGTTTAACCCCCAAAATAAATACCCCTTTAAAATATAACTGGTGTGGGATTGATTCGCCATTAAAATTGAAGTCAAGATGTCTTGAGAAGGAGTTAAAATGCACTACAACCTAGAAGTGCCTGAGGGATTGAAGTCCTACCTGAGAGAAAACAGCATGGGGGCCTTTCCAGTAAAAAAGAGTTGGCAACCATTGTGATTGGGCGGTCAGAGACTGAAATTCGGGAGATGAGACTGCTCTCAGCTAGGGCTTCTCAGGACCGAGGACAGAGACACCTCAGGCTGTCAGTGCAAAGCTTGGAAATCCGTGCCTTGGCAACTCACGTGAACCAAACAGAGGTGGAGAGCCTTCGTCAGCCACAGCCCAGATCTGTTGACAATTGGTTTAATCCAAGTGCTGGCCTTATCAAGAAATGGGAATCTGCTTCCAGTGTGGATAATATCATATGAGCCATGAGTGATCTGTATATAAATGATGTCTACTACATAGTTAAGAACTCAGCCCAGTATTTTGAAGGCAGAGGCAGATAGATCTCCATGAGTTCAAGGCCAGCCTGGTCTATACAGTAAGTTCTAGGCCAGCCAAGGTTACATAGTGAGACCTTATCTAAAAATAAAGTCTATATCTCTTCAGCTTCCACAGGTACCCACACACACGTTGCATATACTTATACAGATACACGAATAAAAATAAATCTTAAAAACTTAAACATGTGTGGAAGAAGCGGATTGGGAGATGGCTTAGTAAGTCAATTAGTTGGTGTGCAAGTATACGGACTGGAGTTCAAGATCCCCAGAGTCATGTAAAAACTGGGTGGGGGCGGTGGTCCTTCTGTAATTCCCAGCATGTGAGAGCTCAGATAGAGAATTCTTGGGACAGTCTGAAATGGTGAGCTCTGGGTTCTGTGACACAGCCTGCTTCAGTGTGTATACAACTAGAGGAAAAGAGTCACAGCCCAAAAGCGTATATGAATTGGTACCTTCAGAGGGTCAGCCACACAAATCACAGACAATGTAGCAACAGATGTGATGAACTCCCAAAAAAGAGGGGTGATACTTTTTAAGTAGGAAATGAAAATAACTAAAAGTCTAGAATCAATTTATTCTACAGAAAGCCTCATTTGAATAAAGAAGGCACAATAAAGAAATTTCTAGACAAAGACTGGAAATATCCGCTGTCGGAAGTTTAAATAAATAAAATAGCCAATAACAGAAATTCTGCAAGCAGAAGGGATGTGAGCTCAGGCAGAAGCATCCCAGGAAGAGAGGAGCTAACACAGGCAGGGGAAATCTGCGGGGAA